GTGTTACAACAGAAACGGGAACCAAGGTGATGTCCCTGCCTATCGCCCTGGATAGGCCTGGAGTTAAACAGAAATGTTTGCTTCCTCGAGGGAAAATCCTGGACATCTTCACTTATAGGCAGAGAGCTGAGCACATGCTCGTGGCCCGGAGCAGCGGCCCGGTTTCTGCAGCTGAGCACCGGCCGGGGGAACTGGCTTTCTCTTCCCCCGACTCCTTGCCCTGAGCTCCCTTCCCTGCACGGCCCAGGCAGGTTTTGCAGCGTGGCACCGGCAGGTCAGGGTGACGTTATAGGGCACTGCTTTCCGGGGAGCCCAAATCACCGTGCTCCTGGCATCGCTGTACAGCCCCCTCTCAGGGTCTGGATCATCTGCCAGCTCCGAGAGGTCTGAAACAGCCCTCTTGGCAAAATGCAAAAGCCGCAGATTTTGGGACCAGCTGCAAGAGGGCGCTGGGGGCAGCGACACATGCTGGCATGTCTCATTGCCACCTGGCAGATGCTGGGCTCCTGCTCTGGCTGGTCTAGTGGGTGCAATTCCCTCCGCACCAGCCCAGGACCAGGCGCCTGCCATGCCACTGCGCGGGCGCTGAGCACCGCCGACCCGATGGCAACGCTGCGCCAGAGAGAGCGAGCCTGCGCCGGGACCCGCGAGGCTCCTTCCTTTGCAGCATTTCAGGCCCTGCAGGCGCTGCACAAGCAGAGGGTTAACGCTTCCCACGTTAAGTGGCTGCAGATGTGTGGGAAAGTCTGGGGCGACCGGACGGCACCGCTATTAGTATTCACCCAGGAGCCTGCCGCCGCCTCCCAGGGCTCCGCCGAGCACATTTAATACCAAGGCCCGTCGTGGGGGTTAGGAAGAGTGCGTGGGATGGGGGCGGAAAGGCCCCTTTTCGGGGGAAAGGCACTGTGCTAGCATCATCCCTGCTGCTGGCTAAAGCGGCTGCCTCTGAGCGTCGGCTCCTCCGGGACCGGCCGTCGCTTGCAGCAGACCCAGCACCTCCTCAGCACTGGGACGTACAGCCACACGGCTCCATGGTACGTCCCCGAGGGCGCGCAGGTCAGTGCTACAGCCCCATGGCATGGCGCTCCAGCCGCGACACTGCCCGGAGAGCCCGGGAACTGCCCTTCGTCCAGCACAGCAGGGTGCACGAGCCAGGGGAGCCCCCCAGCCCCTTGTGTTTTGCTGGATGATCTCCCTGGAAGGAGCCCAGCACTTTCTGTCCCCAGCCCTTCATCCTGGTGCACCGGGCTCTGCTGTCACCCACTGCCGTCCTGGCAAAGCTCCCGAGCAGCGGGGCCCTGCACAGCGTAGCAGTTCCTCCGGAGGAGAGCTTTGGAAAAGGCTGGGTGAAGTATCTGTGCCGAGAGCTCAATCTAGCTGGGAGCAAGTGCTGGCAGCTATCATGATGGATGGCTTGCCCAGATGTTATTCTCTGCTCCCCAGCACCAGTCGCCTCTTTCTTGTGGTCTGAGGTTCAACACCACATCAGAGCGGTGCTTAAATTCCTGGCTTTCTGCCGAGAGAGGCTCAGAGGAGTTGCAACCCCAGGGGAATCTGGCCCCTGTTAACGCCTGCAAGGAGCAGGAGAGGTTGAGCTCTGCCTCCTCTTTCTCACCTGCCTCTCACTTGCTGGCACATGGGTCCTTGTCATTGACTCCAGCCCGTCCTTTCTCTCCATCATGTTGGGTCCTCCTCGCTGGGGCACTAGGTGGAGAATGGTTCTTCTCCACCTCAGGCCCAAGCTATGGCCTTTTCCCAGGGTCCCAGCTACATCTGGGATGGGGGAAGGAGGTTGGGATGCAGTTTTGATCCTGGTGTTGCCAGCGCAGTCCAAATACCCCAGAATGTCCCTATCCCAGCAGCTGCTTCGTGCACCAGAAGGGCCACGCTGCACAGCCCCAAGCTCCTGTTAACACTCGTGCCACTTATTTGGGCTTGCCCGAGGCTGGAAACCTCAGCTGAGAGGGGCTCTGGCAGCCCACGCTGCAGCTGTCCCAGCCCCAAGGGAAGCACTCAGTCCTGCAAGCGCCACCAGCGGGGGTGCAGGAGCCAAAAATAGAGGTGAGCGAAGAAGAGGGGATGAGGTGGAGGTAGGTGAGCTGTTGCCCTCCACCCACGCGCTTGCACGCAGCGTCCCTCCGGCGCTGGCGCTTCCTCCGAGCTGGCCTTTCCCAGGATCTGCTTTAACCCCAGTGCGCTATGTTCCCAAACAAAGCGCACGGCCCCGCACACTCGCAGCAGC